ATGTCAGTATTTTTAATAAATGAACAGAAGGTTTTGAAGTATAGCTTCTGTGAAACCTAAGAGCACATGTATCAAGGTCTGCTATAGCTCTTGGCAACTTTGCCCTGGGCCAGACATTGAAAAGAAAAAACTAAAAAAATTTTAAAATTTTAAAAATAGGGAAGAAAAGCAATGCTTGCTTAACTAATATGCAGTAGTTATTGCTGGTCAATCACGGGGCTACTCAGCTTCAAGGGCTGCAGTTGGGCATTGTGGGAGCACCCAAGCACTTGTCCAGACCAGCCAGGGTCAAGTCAGCACATCCACTAGAGAGTTCTGGATCAGGGTACAACAGGAGATGAGTTTTCCCTGCTCAGTTTCCTATCCCTTTCTTGCTGTAGCTGAAAGATGCTCTTATCCTATAACTTTGGCTTATTACAACAAAATATATTCAGAAATTTCCTTTCGGGTCTAGCTGCCCAGCATACAGCGGAGAGGAAGTATTTGCTGATTCAAATATGCTTACAATTTAAACTTTCCTTCCCAATCACATTTTTTTTTCATAATTCTTCAGTTTTCTAAAACAGAAGAAAATTTAAGTTTTTATTAAAATTAAATGTGTCATGTCCTGAAGAAAGAAAACGAGACAATTATTTTTTCCTCTTTCCTTTCTGGTAAAATAGCAAGAGCTTTTTTCTCTGCCTGGTATAAAGAGAGAGACAACATGCAGTTGTCCAAAATGGTTTCCTGAGACACAAAGACCCTCTTTTCTCTAATTCTGATAAACTGTAAGCTATGTCCTCCATCTAGGACAGACAGAACAACTGCCCATTTCCAGGCTTACAGGGTACACTCACAGACCTCGGATAACACATGAAAAGGAAGCTCACTGTAGACATGTGTTTAGGCCTCTGATGTGAGGCAAGGTCACTCTGCTCTTCTGAAGCATGCTTGTATCACAGAGAGTAAAAATGAATTAAGGGTACAGAGAAAAGGGACAGAAAGACAGATAAAAGCACTGAGGTTTTTTCAAAACCACAAAATCCAAGCAGACAAATAGACCGAGGTCTATAAAAAGAAAAATTAGAATCACTAAAAATAGCTAGAGCCCGGTGCAGTCACAGAAGAGCACCAGGGCTCATTTGAGGGACAAAACCAGAGCACCAGGTTCCTGAGGGGAGGCTCCACGTGGATGCCTCCCGTGCCCATCTTGAAATAACAGTATACCCTTTTCATCACATGGGGAAGAAGGAGTTCTTACCCAGATTAGGACAAGAAGGCCACTGGTCAAATGCAAGTACAAATAAATAGCATTTTCAGGGCCCTCCCCTCCCCAGTTTAGCCAAAGCAATCTGGTTTGGCCAAGTGTTTCCGAATTGGTCTGCTAAACATACACTGTGGTAGTCTGAGAGGCTTCCTGGAACAAGAGCTTTAAGATGCATGAAGCTAATTAAGTTCCACAGTCAGCACTGTAGGATGTACGTTAAATATGTGGAGAAATGCACAGTTACTTCCCAAACCACTTTTTTTTTTTAAAAAGATTTTAAGCATACAAGAACTGGGGTATAGGCCAGAGGGGTGGGATGTGAGAGGATTCACCAGAGACAGAATGGGAAGCAAAGAGGCAGATTGACTGAAATACACTGCTGAGGGGCACAGCGGATGGTACAGGAGTGGTCTGCATGCCATTTTTAGATACATGCGAACCTCCTGCCATCCCTTCCACCCACAACTGATTGCAAAACCACTGATTACAACACTGACTACTGGAAATTCCCTTTCTTCTCTCCTTTCCCATTGGATATGGAAACTAAATAAATGTTCTTGGCCTTTTCCTATTGTTATTTTTTGTTAATTTATTTTTTATATTTTAATATATAACATATATATACACATATATACACATATACACATACATATTATAATATATGATATATATTTTATATATGTATATATAACATCACTGTTCATTTTTGTACAATGTTTGCTTTCTTTTCTCAGGTGTAGTCCCCATAGTATTTCCACTACCAATTCACCCCCTGTATCACCCCCATAGTCCCTTGTGCTCTTCCTGCCTTCATTTTGATCCCTTTCCCTCTCTTTGTTAGTCTTTTAAATCAACATTTCAGTAGTGGAGGCAGGAGAAGGGGAGGGTGGGAATAGATGAATTAATGAAATACTTTAACAGATAGCACCCCTCCACACTGACCGTACATCCCTTCTTTCTTTGGCTAATTGAATGACTCACTTATTAGGAAAAGATAAACTTAAAAAAATCAAGAATCTTCCATCACCTAGCACCCAAATACAATCATTATGAAAAGTTTGTTATATTTTTCTTATACAAATAATTTAATTACTATAGTTACCCACATGTTTGTGTATTTTCCTATCTGGCTATTTTCTACTTAATGATACATGTGAGCACTGCCCCCAAATTTTCAACTTTCTTTAAATACAGGAATTTTAAATGTAGAATGGAATCGTTTCATTGAGAGTACTGACTTTTACGGAACGTTACTTAGTCATTTCTGGTGTTTCACAGTGATAAAGCTTCAGCGAGTATTGCTGTATACAAGTCTTTGCGTATTCTGTGAGTGTTTCTACAATTCTATGGCACAGGTAGAAGGGCAAATCAAAAGACAGGAATAAACCTGAAAACTGATTTGGCCCATTGCCCTTTGATGGAATGCATTTATGGAGTGTAAACATTTTATTTAAACTCAATCTAACTGTTATTTCTCTATCTTTGCAAATTTGCCTGGCAAAAATTAGTGTCTTTCACATCACTAAGAGTGGTTTTATTAATCATCAGGTTTATAAAGCATTTATGAATTAAACATACATTACTAAACAGCCAAGACATTCAATGCTTAGATATTTACACAAGTGAAAAGAAAACATGTATCTACAAAGACTCATGTAGACCCAAAGTAGTTAACACCTATAATTTCTCCAGTGGGTAAAAAAATAAACAAATTGTGGTATGCCCACACTACAGATAACTGCTCAGAAATAAAAAGGAATTAAAAATCAATACATGAAGTAATATGAGGAATCTCAAAAACATGCTAAGTAAAAGGACCCAGACACACAAATGTACATATGACATGTATACTTCCACCTATATGAAATTCTAGAAAAAATATAAAGCAATAGTACCAGAAAGTAGGTCAGCATTTGTGGCCAAAAAGGTGGGGAAGGGAATCTACTAGAAAGAGGTATGAAAACATTTGTGAGCTATATCTTGATTGGGGAAGTGGTTACATAACAATTACAAAAATCCATCAAACTTTACGCTTAAAAAAAGTATGAATTTTCTAGTCTAGAATCACAACTCAATCAAGCTGGACAGCAATCAAAACAAAAGCAAAGTCATTAAACAAAAATTTGAGAAAAGCTAACTTCATTTTTGTGTATTTGAATTTTTAATCTGTATGCATACATTCTCTGATAGCAATAATTATAGACTCTATGTAAATTTATATTTTAAGCTTTTATAGCACAACTTTATATATTGCTTTATGAAATCAAGAAGTCTTCATGATTATAATTTTAAATAGGTATACATACTTTTCTAAAGCCCAGCACATTCCTCTGTTGTTAACAGTGAATTAGTAAGTTTTAAAGTACGATTCGTTACCAATATTTGGATGCCACCTCGTGGACAAACTGTGCAATAGTGCTGGAATTGAGAAAACCACTTAATAAAGAAAAAAAAATAACTTCATGTTCAAAAATTTAATTTTAAAAATTAAAGAATTTTAATGAAAATAAAACATTTTATAGACGTGCTAGATCATGATCAAATCTGAATTTAGGGAAATCAGTTAACAAGAAATTTCTGTTGTAACTTCTCAAAAACTGAGACCATTGGAAAACAAAACAAAACTGAAACAATGATGTGAATGATAGACAGGGATCAACATTAAACTAATTTATGCATCTAAAATAAAGTAGGGACCTCCAAATGCAAATGACCTTTGCTGTCATCTCACCCAGTAGCTTCTAACAATAGACCCTCCCCAGATGCACAAAGAAACATATGATGAAACACTGCAAATCTTTAGACGGCAGAGAAAGACACCAGGAAACACATTCCCATTAGAGCAGAGACGTGCTGATTTTGAGTCACCAGGGTTTTCTCCCCAGTTCCCAGGCCTCTCAGTGCTGGCTTTTACTATTGCAATGAAACAACAACTGGCTAGCGCCACAAAAAGAAAGATTCTTTTAGGAAAGTGGTGCCTGCCAGGGTCAACAAAAGAATGACTTTTTCAAAAGAAAGCCTTTGAATAGCACAGGACCAGTGTCGACCACCTAGGGAGGAATAATGTACAGCTTCCGCCTGGTGCTCCTCCCAGTTATGCTTTCTGGCACTCGTTAGCCCTCTCCCTTCAGCTCCAGTCTCCACAAATTCAAAAGAAGCTGCAAAAAGAACTCTTGGAGGAATGTCATGAATCCTTAGAGTGAGAAACCAGTGAGAGAGAGAAAGCAGTTCAGAGATACAGAATCAGGTTTTACCAGGTCAATTATGTAGATGGTCTTTTATTGGCTGAAATGTTTGTATGCTTGTTTCTCTTCATTTTAATTGTATTACTCCATAGAAAATTACATTCATTGACTAACCACTCAAGAAGTACAGAAGAAAGTGCCCTTCCAGCTGCTTCCTTGACTGACCAGCCCATTCCCAGAGGCAGCAATTACCCATTTCTTCGGAATCCTCCCAGAAACACTTTCTGTATAGACAGTTACCCATGTACTTTCTCCCAGGTAGACATGCATCCCTGGCCCCCACCCCCACCCCAGCTTTCTTATTAGACAAATGGTAAACCACTTTCCACATGATGCTTTTTTCACTTAACACAATTTGTCATCATGCTCAGACCACATCAATGCACAGTTTCTATTTCCCTTTAAAGCTGTGCCATATTCCATCCTGTGGATGTACCATAAGATATTTGATTCTCTCATGAAAGTGGACATGCTTCCAGTCTTGTGCTGTTTTATTATTATCTTCTTACCTGAAACTCTCTGGGCCCATTTGATAGCTTCTTCAATGGGGTCTGAGGTCACAATTTTATCTAGAATACCTAATTTGAAAGCTTCATCTGCCAAGATATGTCTCCCTAAAACAAAACAGAATAAGACAAACTAAAGAATGATGTGAGATGAAGGCTAAAACATTACTTTCTCTAAGTGGGAAGGTAATCTGTTTAAGGTATAAACATTTTTATTAAATAAATCTAATAAGCACCACAGTGTTGCAATAAAAGAGCATATCTGTCTTGTATCAGCAGCAGGAGCTGTTGGTTTCCAAAAAAGAAGATGCCTGAAAATCTAGTTGGATGGACAGAAAAAAAAATCAAGTTAGCATTATATGAATGATAATCAAAAGACACAGGACTAATGGGATGGACTTCTGGCATCTTCTGTCTCCTCAGCATCTTGACCCCTCCCTTAGTTTATAGAATCGCTGTTGCAGTAGCTGCAGGGTCCACTACAGAAGGGTCAAAGGAAGCAGATAAGATGAGAAGACAGTAAGCAGCTACAGGAATCAAGTCTCCTGTGTATAAAATCATTTGAGCAAGAGGTGAATTAGTCTCCCTAGGGTAAGGGGACCACAAGGCACAAATGGGACATGGAAACCTGGGTACTGGGACAGTTGTTCCTGGGACAAAGAAGAGGGGAACAATTACTACCCACAGGATGGATGGAACATGCCTTCAGCTATAATGATTTCTTCTGGTCTACATTTCATAAGAGGAGGCTTCCCACTACTGTTTTCTAGAGTCAGTGAGATCCAGATAATTTCAGACTTAAAGACATAAGTTTACATAGCCAACTCAAATCCTCAGGTGAGGATTTCACTGAGATGAAAAGAAGAGTTATTTTACTGAAGTGTAAACTTTTTTCTTCTTGTGTTGTAGATGACGACAACTGTGACTAAAAAATCTCAATTTTTCCCCATTTTCTTTGTGGCTTCTTTTCCAAACTTTAGCAAAAAATCCTATATGGAACCCTTTCCAGTGGTCGTTTTAAAGTTTCCCTAAAATTGTACAGACTAATTAAAAACTACATTCATGATTCTAATGTTAGCTTTCCTCTAATTCACAGTAACGTTTTCTATTCAAACAAAATCCGTCATATTCTGTTTTTACTTCTTCCCTCCATCACCACATTAAAAATAGTGATAATTATGGCCCTCCCTGGTGGTACAGCAGATTAAAGCCCAGCACTAAGAAGCTAAAGCCTGAGTTCAATTCCCCCCTTGCCCTGGAGGTGATCTACGTGGCGAGGCAGACCACTCCTGACTCTCCCATGGCTCCCCTCAGCAGTGTACTTGGTCAATCTGCCTGTTCTGCTCCCTACTCTGTCTCTGGTGAATCCTCTCACTGCCCCTGCACCTCTGGCTTGTACCCCAGTTCTGTATGCATAAATAAATAAATCTTTTTTTAAAAAAATAGTGCTAATTCTGGCCTTCCCTGGTGGCGCAGCGGGTTAAAGCACAGCACTAAGAAGCTTGAGCCACTTCCTCATGAGTTCGATCCCCGCCTGCCCCGCAGGTGACCACATGGCGTGGCAGACCTTTCCTGACCCGCCCGCTGCTCCCCTCAGCAGTGTACTTCGTTGATCTGCCTGTTCTGCTCCCCACTCTGTCTCTGGTGAATCCTCTCACCCTCCGCATCTCTGGCCTGTACCCCAGTTCTGTATGAATAAATAAATAAATCTTTTTAAAAAATAGTGCTAATTCTATAAACAGCAGCATTTGGGAAAGGCCAATCCAATTTACTTCTTTTTTTTTTTAAGATTTATTTATTTGTGCATACAGAACCGGGGTACAGGCCAGAGGCTCAGGGGCTGTGAGAGTCTTCATCAGAGACAGAGTGGGGAGCAGAACAGGCAGATCTATGAAGTACACTGCTGAGGGGAACAGCGGGTGGGTCAGGAGAGGTCTGCCACGCCATGTGGTCACCTCCGGGACAGGAGGGAATTGAACTCATGCGGAAGCGGCTTTAGATTCTCAGTGCTGTGCTTTAACCCACTGCACCACTAGGGAGGGCCTTACTTCATTTTTTATTAAATAAGCCAGACTTTCCTCCTGATTTGTCTGGGATAATCTTGCCTTAGAGACTTAATACTAAAAATAGTCAAGAAATTCCTCAATGTTCACCTCCAAGCCTTAATTGCTATAAACTTAAAAATATACAGATTCATTTCACACCATTACACTTTTTCCTATATTTCTGCTTTTTGCTTCTTTCTATTTTTTCTCTTGCAGAATGTGTTTTGAATTCTTGCAGCATGCTGAAGTGTAGACATCCGCATATGAAGTTTACATTACTTAAAATAGGTCACATTTGTAAAAGTAAACTTATTATCACTGTAAATTAAAACAACTTCAAAATTAGCTTATTGAAGAAATATAACAGTTTTCCCCTCTCCATTCATGCTTAATAGAATTTATGACACCCCTTCCTTTTGTATTTTTAAAGCAAAGAAGCTATTTATATATATATATAGGCTCACTTTCTAACTTGGCTTATGTATATACAGTTCTAGATTGTGTTTTTTTGTGTCAAAACATGGATTCTGATTATCATTTCTCAAATATTTTTGTCTTAGACTTTTAATTATGAATGGAATTAGTTATGACAATGTAACTTGATGAATGCTTTCCTTTTATACTCTGATTTGTGAACATCTGTCTAGAAAAAACAAGCTGCAAAAACACAGTTTATCTCATGAAGAAATGTCGTAAATAAACAAAAGTCACTTTTCTATAATGAGATCAATAAAATCCCTTTAAACTTATTGGCTAAACAATTTGTAGTTCCCGTGTATCAACTACCATTACTTTTTTTTTTTTAAGATTTATTTATTCATACAAGAATTGAGGTACAGGCCAGAGGTGCAAGGGTTGGTGAGAGGATTCACCAGAGACAGAGTGGGGAGCAGAACAGGCAGATTAATGAAGTACACTGCTGAGGGGAGCAGCGGGCGGGTCAGGAGAGGTCTGCCTCGCCATGTGGATCTCCTCCAGGGCAGGCGGGGTCGAACTCATGCGGAAGTGGCTTAAGCTTCTTAGTGCAGTGCTTTAACCCGCTGTGCCACCAGGGAGGGCCCATACCATTACTTTTTTTTTTTTTTTAAGATTTATTTACTTATGCATACAGAGCTGGGGCACAGGCCAGAGGTGCAGCAGGGGCGAGAGAGGATTCACCGGAGATAGAGTGGGGAGCAGAACAGGTGTATCAACAAGGTACACTGCTAAGGCAAACAGTGGTGGGTCATGAGAGGTCTGCCACGCCATGTGGGTCACCTCCGTGGGCGGGGATTGAGCTTGCCCTGAGGTGGCTGTGGCCAGCTTCACAATGCTGCACTTAAACATGTTGAGCCACCAGGGAGGGCCCTTTTTTTACTTTATATACTTTTAAGAGTTATGGAGGACTCCAAAGAGTTTTTATTTATGTGAATTATGTGAATTTCTATCAGTGTTTACTGTTCTAAAAATTAGAACTGAGAACCTTATGTGTTTATGAAATCATTTAAAAATAACAATGATAACGTGATAAACTTATCACATTACCATAAATGAATTTTATGCAAATGATAATATTTTTCAGATTGAAACTACTTACTACTAAATCAGATGGTTTCACTCATAGCAGGAGTATAAGGGATGAGGGGGGGGAAAGAGTGAGGCAAATAAATGTAATAGGGTAAAAATGAAAACAATGAACAACTATAAACCAGAGACATTTCATGGGGGTGAAGGGAGAATGGGATCAGAACTGGGGTGGGAAGGGTGCACTGGACTGTGGTGATGGCACATGGGTGAATTGGTGGTGGGAAGCCCATGGGGATTACAACTGAGATGGAAAAAATGCACAAAATGAAGAAAGCTGTAAAAAGAAAGAAAAGAAACTACTACAGAGAAGACAGTCATTGTTTTATGTTTTCAGATTTCTTTAATGTCATAGTAGCAGACAGTTGGAGTCTCTAATCTGCTTCTGGATGTAATCTATTGTGATAAGATATGGCACACAATAGCCTCTAGAAAACCCATTGTCCACTCTTGTGAAAATGAGAGTGGAAAAGGCAAGTAATAACTTATTACGGACACGGTTGTGACTCCACTCTCCCTGCTGTTGGAGGAACACTCAGTGGTTCCTGGAGACACGGTGTCAGCCCCTGCTTTCCACAATCACTTTAAAGACACCTCGGGCCTGTTGTGTGCACGTCCCATTAGTAGCTTCACTTATGGATGCAGAGATTTTAGTTCTTTTGAAAGGAACCTTTTGCTGTGTTTGCTTTTATCCTTTGGAGCTTACAGGATTCTATTTCCTGGGTGTATAAAATCGTTACCACAGTACATCAGAGCATTGTTCTTGTCTCATCAGTTTTTCCAGGAAAATGGTGTGCTTGCTAAAATACAACCTTAGATTTGATTTCAAATCTGAAGTTTCTCCTATTTTTTCCCTGTGGTTACTGCTTCTCATCTTCTGCTTTGTGCTTTGGGGGGCTCCTATTTGTAGCACAGACCTCCATTCCATACATTCTATTTCTGCTACCCCATTTACACCTTATGTATCTTTTTTGTTAAATTCTTCTGAATTCCATAAATGGGTTTCTATCCTCCATGGTGCTGATTCAGATGCCCGATCTATGATGATTTCATTCATGGCTTCAAAAAGAAATTATTTTGGCTAATGCTTTGATTTTAAACAGGGTGTTCTTATTCAGTAAATAAAATATTTTCTTTCATGATTTAGAATAATGTGAATTTTCCAAAGTTTGTGTTTAATCTGTTTCAGAAGATTCATATTTGTTTCATTTTTCTAATGTCACGGGATATTTTGAGAAGTTGTAGGTTTGGAGTTTGCTTTCACATTTTTGTTTGTCTGTTTTGATCATGTTGTGATATTTGTTGATGTTTATTATTGCGGCCTGGGAGCTCTGAGTTGTAAAACTCATCCTCAACATCTTGTTCAAATATAGGGAAAATCCACCTGTACTTAAATCTGGAAGGCAGGCAAGAGAAAAGTGCCACCCTCTACTCCCTCCCTGGAAGTCTGGGTAGTGAGAGGTATCTCTTCCAAGTCCAGAGCCCAAGGGCATCCCTCTCTGAGATCATCCTAAAGCCATGCCAGGAAAGGAGCAATGTTCTGTGGCAACAGAGCTATTTACCCAATGCTGGTATTCAGTCAACAAGGGAAAGGACTTAGAAAATAAAAGCAGAGGAAAAGCAAGAAACGTAGTTCTCATCACCTGAGCAAAAAGAGAATATGAGGTGGGAAACTGCATGTGACCAAGCTTAGCTTCTGTGATCACTATTCAAGATCCAGTTGTTTTCAGGTGGCATTTCCATTTAAGGGAATTGAGGGGAAGCGGTGGTTAGAGTTGAAATCACTCCACTTCACGATGTCAGATCAGAAAGGTGAACTAGTTATGTATTAACTTAATTTAAACTTATTTACTTACTGATTTCCAATGGGGACAGTGTCTATAATGTTGGTGTTTTGCCTTCTTTCACATAACTAGAGAATCTTTTTATAACCTTCCTGAGAAAAAATGTTTTACCAAACCACAAAGCAAGAGTTTTTAACTTCTTACACAAATCACCACACACCTTGTAGCTTAAAATAGTGCATATTTATAATCTAAATTTGGGATGTCAGAAGTCAGCCAAAACCATGTCTTCTGGAGGTTCTAAGGCAGAATCTGTTTCTTTCCATCCAGCTTCTACAAGTTGCCTACCTGTCTTGGCTTGTGGCCTTTTCTTATCTTCAAAGCCAAGCTGTATAGTGTCTCACCTCTCTGAACCCCTGCCTGCCTCTTTCAGGTTTTAAGGATAAAAACAGGGTCCTTGCAGACTCCCCCAGAGGAGCACAGCTGTTTCTGCCACCCCACAGTCCTGGAAGGAGAGGGAAGGGTCGTTCCAATCAGTTCCCAAACAGAAGGAGTGATGGAAGAAAGATATGCACAGTTATCAGGGACCCCTCCCTACCCAGAAAGGGAATAAAACTCTAAAAGACCTGCTTTACTGCTCAGGACAGCTCTCCATGTTCCTGAGGCTGTTCATTGCCTCCTGCGGAGTTCTGTCCTGTCGCTTCCTAATAAACTTTGCGGCTGCTTTCATACTGATGCTTCACGAAGTTCTTTTGTGAGACACCAAGAACCCCGGGTGTCATGGCCCCAACATAAGGACCCTCTGATAAGTCAGGCACACCTGGAAAATCCAAAGTAATCTTAAAGTCCTTCTATACAAAAGTCTATCTGCCCGCTCTTGTGAATACAAGGTATCCTCAGGTTCTGGGGACTAAGATGTAAACATCTTGGGGGTCCCATTGTTCTGCTTACCACAGTTACCACCTATAACATGTCTTCTATGTGACAGTAATATACCAGAAGCGTGTCATGTAATTTCATTATCCTGTAAACCAACTGGTGGTTGTTTTACTGCTAAGAAGTGTTCAGAAGACTTCTCTGATAAACTTCAATGTCGATCTATACAACTGGCTCCTTGACATCTCCATTTGGATGTTTAATATGCTTCTCAAACATAACATGTGCAAAACAAAGTTCTTGTAATTTCTCCCTACAACCTACTCTGACAGCAGATCCCATTTTGGTTACTATCCTTCCAGATTTCCTGCTATCAGAATCATCCCCACTTTCTTCTTTCTTGCACATGCCACATGTGATCTATCATACAATCCTGTGAATTCCTGCCTTCAAAAAATACACCAGAATTTAACCATGTCTCACCACTTACACTGTTCCACTCAGGCCCATGCTTCCATCATCTCTCCCATGGATTTTTATAGCAGCTCTCTATCCAGTCTATTTATGCCTCAACATATTTTTAATAGCCAAAGTGATCCTTAAAGAAACATATGTGAGAACATGTTATATCTCTGCTCAAAAAAACTCCAATGCCTTCCTAACTCATTCAAAAGAAAAGCAAGCATTCTTCCTACAAGAATTGTCAAGCCCACACAAAGGAGGGAAAACTACTGTCAATCAAAACAAAATTCATGGTTAAATGTAAATGGGATATCTGGGAAAAAGTACATTTTTGAGTTGATAAAATATGTCAATATGGTTAACGTGTCACTGGTGTAGTTTTCTTCATATAATCACCTTAAGGACAGGCATTTTTCTTGGTTTGGTTCACTATTCTAGGCCCAATGCTTAGAACAGAGCCCAGCATGTGAGAGAAAACTAACAATAGATGCTGGGTAAATAAATATTAACTTGCACAAAGCATGTTGTTTAAATGTTGATTCAAATTCAAATCTTTAAATTCTAAAGCACATACTCTTTTTATTGCCCCTTCTTTAGGATATAATCTAATACCAAGATCCTCATCAATTTCCTCTTCTACAAGGAAGACAGATATGGGAATAATAGTGTACAGCAAACACAGCACCTTGTCTAGGACTGTTGGAAGTGCACTGCATTAACTTACTGCAAGTATTAAGTATGTGAAAGATATTATTATTATCCACATTTATAAGGAAACTAAGGGGTAAAAAACAGTGAATGATCCAAGGACTGATAATTAGTTCAACCTGTTGGAGCAAATAGTTGTTTATGTTCTTCATTCCAACTTTACCTTAACTTGAAATCTCTTTATATATTACCTTATGGTGTTTGTTAAATCTAGGGTTTCTAGATGTATTCTAGTGTTGATATTCCCTATTGAAAAAAGAACAATACTTCTATTTGTGACTAATATCTTAGTCATTGGAAAGGAAACATTCACTCATTTCCACACAAAAACTTGAAAACTTACCTTGAGGATTCTGGTCTTGTTTATATTACAATTGCTAAATTGAGCCATCTGATAAAATGTAACCTACATGACACCAGTGTCTGTAAAGAGAGACTTGAGCTATACTAAAATGCTGAATATATTTAGTATGTGTAAACACTTTCGTTTACAAGGTCCTCGTATTTGATCATCATGGTAACATTTGAGAAGAATACAGGGGATATGTTCTTTCAATTTATGGATAAAAAAATTAACATCAAAGAATTTAAAGTAACTGCTCCAGGTTATATGAGCAGGCAATGGTCACCCAGGAGCTTTTACAAGCCTAGTCTAGTTCTTCATATTGATGTAGACAGCTACTGGCAAAATTGATACTGACCTGAGGTAATTAAGTCAAGAGCAGCGGGAACTCCAATGAGCCTGGGGAGAAGCTGGGTTCCTCTGGCACCAGGAAGAATTCCTAGAGTGACTTCTGGAAAGCCAATGTGACTCTATCAAGTATAGAAGGCATAAAGGTCATTAGAATTGGGTGATATGATCAGAAAATAAATAGACTCCTGTTTATTTCCCACATTTTCCAAAACATTGTTTCATAAAATTTAGTGAGTGGTTCTAAGGGCAAAGTAGTGCATATCCTCTACTTTAATCAATAGCATAAAGAAAACTGTCCCTAAGCCTTCATATTGAAACACATCTCTATCTTCTTAGACAATGTTTCTCTAACTCCATTATAACCTGTCTGAGACAACAAAAATAGCACTCTCCAGAACAGCTTGATGGAGTTCTGAGAGCTAGGCAGCTCAAAAGAGTCAACCCATAGGTGAGCAGAGAGTATTTGCTAATCATCTATTTTGAACATACAAAGAGCTTTTAAGGGAGGATAGCTCAGTGGCAGAGCATTTGGCTGCACATAAAGAGCTTTTACAATGCAATAATAATTAGATAAATAATTCAATTAGAATGGGCAAAGGATCTGAATAGACATTTCTCCAAGGAAGAGATACCGTAGTCAAAAGACACATGGAAAAGATTCTCAGTGTCATTAGGCATCAAGAAAATGCAAATCAAGCCCACAAAAAGATGCCATTTCATACCCAGCAGAGTGGCTAAACTCAAATAAGACAGATAATAACAAGTTTTAGGGAGGACAGGGAGAATACAAAATCCTAATACATTGTGGGAATATAAAATAGTGCAGCCTCTTGGAGAACATCCGGCAGGTCTTCAAAAGTGAAATATACAGTTACCATATAACCCAGAATTCTATCCACGAATATGCCAAGAAAAATGGATATATGCCCACCAAAACTAACACACAAATGTCCATAGCTTTATTATTCATGAAAGTCAAAAAAGTTACAACCCAAATATCCATCAATTGAACATACAAAGAGCTTTTAAGGGAGGATAGCTCAGTGGCAGAGCATTTGGCTGCACATAAAGAGCATATCCATATAAGGAAGTATATCATTTAAGGGAATATTATTTAGCTATAAGAAAGAATGAAGTACTAACACATATTATCACATGAGTGAACTCTGAAAATATGTTAAGTGCAAAAAATCAGACATAAAAAGAACATATTAGATGATTCCATTTATATTAAATGTCTAGAATGGCAAATTTATAGAGACAGAATGTAGATTAGTGGTTGCCTAGGACTAGGGGAAAGGGAATTGAACAATTATTGCCAAAGGGTCTTACGTTTTTTTCAGGGGTGATGAAATGTTCTAAAATCATAGTTGCATAACTCTATGAATACACCACCCAATTGTATACTTTGAGTGAATAAATTGTATGGTGTGTGAATTATATCTCAATAAAGTTACAAAAAAAAAAAAAGAAAGAAAGAAAGAAAGAAATTCAGGCAGACAAGAGACTGAGCTTGAATTCTTTATCACACTGCCTTCTTTCCATTTAAAAGTAACCTGGTGGCGCAGCGAATTAAAGCACAGCACTAAGAAGCTAAAGCCACTTCATCATGGGTTCAATCCCCACCCTGGAGGTGACCCACATGGTGTGTCAGACCTCTCCTCACCCACCCACTGCTCCCCTCAGCAGTGTACTTCGTCAGTCAGCCTGTTCTGCTCCCCGCTCTGTCTCTGGTGAATCCTCTCACTGCCCCTGCACCTCTGGTCTGTACCCCAGTTCTGTATGCATAAATAAATCTTGAAAAAAAAAAAGTAGCCAGAACTCTGTTATTCAGGTTATGGTGCCTATTTACAGGCACAAGATGAAAAGAAAAGGGTACTTAAATGTAGACTGTCATTTACTCAAATTGTGATGTCAATAGCTCCAGATACCTGGAGTACTTGAGTCACTCTCACATGAGACTTTTCTAAAAATCAATCTAAAATGAAACAACTCTTTTTTCCCACCACTGGTCATTCCCTCATTGCTTGTAAAGATCTGTACTCCATGTGAAAAAGGTCAGAGTAAGGAGGATACAGAAAAAAAAAATTAAAACATAGAACAATAGTTAAATGAAATATGGTAACTAATGTAATTGGAAATTATTCAGTCATTTAAAATGATACTGTAAAATATAATTACAGTAAGATTAATAGCAAACTGTTTATCCGAAATCATGGAGGTCAGAGGCCATGGAATGACACATTCAGATTACTGAAAGAAATATCCACCAAGAATTTGACACCCAGCAAAACTAGTCCTTGAAATTGAAAGTGAATTAAGGCATTCCTAGATAAACAAAAACCAAAATTGTTGCCTGCAGGTCTGCCCTATAAGAAATCCTCCAGGATGAAATGAAAGGGCACTAGATTGTAACTAGGTCCACATGAAGGAACAAACTGATATAGGGGAAATTATATAGGCAAATATAAAAGACAGTATTGCTATGATTTTTTTCTTTATAACTCCTCTTTATTCTTACTTGATTTAAAAGACCACTACATAAATTAATAATTATAAATCTATATTGTATAGGTTATAATGAGACAATTTGTGACATTAATAGTGTAAAGAGGGTGGATAACAACTGCATGGGAACAAATGTTTGCATATTGTGTAATTAAATTTGCATCAGTCTAAACTGAAGTGTCAATAAAGCATTAATTATTACTCATTTTATGCTATTTTCTATCAGGAACTTGTCTTCTTAGATACATACTGATAATTATAAGGGACCACAAAACTGAAAGCTTTTAGATCAGAAAAGAGAATTTAAATACATATGCATGCTCAGGCATGATAGTCAAAATATTTAACACCTCATACTGCATGAGGGTGGCTCAGTAAAATCTGAAGTGGGCCATAGTTCATCAAAGGGGTGGATCCCCTTTGATGGACGATGGGGAAGTCCAAGGACTAAGGTTAGGGGAAGCAAAGGAACAGTGAGGGAATTCAGGGTATAGTTAACACTATAACAACCACTGTGGCTGTACTTTGATAGCAGCCGAACACCAG